AACCAAGTCACCACCACTTGTGAGGCTTAAGAAAATGCTAAGCCCCAAACACCTTAATAAATTTTGAAATCACACAGCTCAATGAAGCATTCTGAATTTCAAGAAAGATTCTGTGACCTCCAAGCCTCTAGTATACATACTTAGCCATTTTAACCACATCAAGAAATCCCCTAAGAGAGACCATTTTCTTAGGAAGGAAAGTTACAAAAGAGAATGCGAAATAGACTCCCTTTCCCAAGCAAAATGAAACACTTTTATGTTTTATTCATGCAAAGTTATAAAAAAACACCCACCCCTTTCCTTCCTAGCATTACAAATTGAATTTGCTCTTGTAAATTGCTGTTAAGGAAAAAAAAAAGGGGATCAAATGCAAAGGGGGGGAAAAGCAGGAATACAAAGGCACTTTCTTCTAAGGCATGAAAACTCAGGGGACCAATGGGGAGAAATAGAACCTTTCCTTGACAAACGTGTTTTTTAACGTAGTGCCTCCTAAAGCAAGCCAGCTCACGGGCTCCCAGCAACCTCACGAGCTTGCAGAGATGCTTGTGGTCAAGGAGGAAATGCTAGTACAGTTGTAAATTACACTGAACTGCTCACAAGGTGAGGATTAGAAATGGCTTAAAAACACTAGTAACATGGCCTCTGTTTCAAAAACCAAAGCAAGGTAACTGAATGGACACTGCATCATGGGAGGAGGCTTTCTGCTTCTCAGGAGAACAGAACTCATGAGTGTCTGCAACAGCCTGCAACAAAATGACAGTTTGCCTTTGAAGTCCCAGAATTCTAATCTTTTTAAAATCCTCAGTCCTCTCTGGAAGCTTTCCGTGGCCTAGTGGTAAGGAGTTGCACTGCTAACCCAAAAACACACGGTTCAAACCCATCAGCTTCTCGGCAGCAGAAAGATGAGAAATCTCTCATAAGATTTACAGTCTCGATAGACCTGCTGGGAAAGCTCTGATAGCCTAGTGGTGGGATGCTGTGCTGCAATCCCAACGGCACTCAGTTTGATTCCAGCAGCTGCTCTGTGGGAAAAGAATGAACAACCTCCTCCCGCACTATGAACTGCCTCTGAAAACCTGCTGGAGACTCAGCTGTGGGTGCGTTTCGACTCAATGGTACACAACAACAACATGAATCTGCTGGAGGGTTAGCTATGAGTCTCTTCTGACTCAACTGCAAATAACACCCATGGAAGGAAGCCTCATAATTTGTGCGTTGCTTTAAAAGATCAAAAGCTAACACTCATCCAGCCTTGGCTGTCCAGGCATCACCGTGCAAATGATTATATTTTGTTGTTTTCTGTCATTATTACTCTCATTTCACAAATGGGGAAAGGCTCAGAGACTAATTCTGTCCACTGGTGTCTAAATAACGTAGTGTTTGGCCTCCCTTTATTTTGACTCCTTATTCTTTACTAATTAATTAATTAATTTTGCATTTGGATGAAAAGCTTATAAATCATATTGGTTTTTCTTATCTGCTGTCAGGGACCTCTCCAAAAGTACTGAAAAGTAATGATGTCAGTCTGGAAACTAAGGTGCACCTGATCCAGGCCACAGTCTCTGCAAATACTTGCTGTGCATCAGAAAGCTGGACAATGACTAGAGATGACAGAAGGAGAATTGATGCCTTTGAGCTGCGGTGCTGGAGAAGAGTAAATAGACCGTGGATTGCCAGGAGAACAAATAGGTTCGTCCTAGAAAGGGTGAAACTTGGCTTCCCCTTGGAGACAAGGATGCTGAAGTTTTGTCTGACACACCTGGGGCATGTTGTAAGGAGGGACCAGTCCTTGGAGAGAGACATCATGCTTGGGAGGGTGAGGGACAGCGCAGGAGAGGAAGACCCTCGATGAGATGGATTGACTCAGTGACTGAGGTAATGGGGGTAGGTGTGTCAGAGTCAATAAGGTTAGCACAGGCTAGAGCAGGGTTTTAGGGCTGTTGTTTCACGGTCACTAGAAGTCGCTAATGACTCAACGGCACATAACAACAACAACAACATTAATTACCTCTGATTAATGTAATTCATGCCTAACCAACAAAGTCTAATGAACCCATGTTTCACTCAACTTAGCTATTTTCATTCCCTTCTTCCCTTCCCATTTAAGACTGATTCTGTTTGCATTAAACTTTTCCTTAGTTGTTTATAGTAGTGGTCTTATACCATAATTATTTTTGGCTTCACTTTAAAGATTTGGAGTGGGCTGAAAACCTGTTATTTCATAATATACTCACAATCTAACCTTTTGAATGAAGGCTTTGTGGTGTACTAGTTAAAGCATTCTGCTACAAGGCTGTTGGTTTGAACCGACCCGCTGTTTGGCTAAAGAATGAAGTGGTCTGCTTTGGCCAGGACTGGAACCGACTCCTACTCTGTGGGCAGTTCTCCTCCACCTGACATGAAGCCCTATCTAGGCGCACAATAATGTAATAATCTCCAGTTTGGTTTATGCCTTAAAAACAAAACTCGGAGGGTAGGAACCAGGAAAGGATCAAGCATGTCACACTAAGGGTTCTCCACCAAAGCGAAAGATCTTTAATGACAACTAAACATTATTAGAGATCTCCGTTGTAAAATTAATCAAGCCATGCCAACGCACCACCTCCAGTGTTACAGCTCTGCCCAGCAAATGATCCACAGGTGTGTGCACAATCCACCTCCTTGTCCCCCTCAAAGCACCTGGCCCAGCTGTCACATCTCATCACACCTGTTAACAGAAAGCCCAACGACACTCTGTACCTGCAGGAAGTTTATTCAGTCTGACGACACGTCAGCTCTCTCTTTTACAAGGATTTCTCGTGCCCGGTTCCAGCATAAAATGTGTCATCTCTGGTTAAGAAACACTCAACTAAAATCTCTCTGTTCTGCCTTAGGCCCTGGAGTCAGACCAACAGACAAAGAAGGCCATTATGGTCCAGTCTGGTACACCACCACGGCTGTGATAGGACCACACAGATGCCTTAGGAGAGTCCCACATGGCCCAACAATCAAGGAGAGCAGCGGGGAGCAACCTACAGCGCAGCAAAGCCAGCTCTCTGCTGTTGGAGATTTCACCCACTTTTACAACAATAATCTCAATTTTCACTAAAGTGGTAACTAATTATTCTAGCAGGGAACTTTGGTGGCCTCATAGTAAGAAAGTGTACTGCAATACTTAAGTCAGGTGGTTCGAATCCATCAGCTGCTCCACGGGAGAAGGATGAGCAATCTCCTCACATGCAATTAACAGCCTCTGAAAACGCACTGGAAGGTCAGCTGTAGGTCAGTTCCAGCTCAATGGTGCTTAACAATTTCACAACAATTACCCTGGCAGTCACCCCTAAATGCCAGGCAATCCTTCTGCACTTCGAGAATAGCCAAAGATTGACTGTAAGAGTTAAATGTATTTCATGTAGCCCACTTACTTAACAATGGTATCCATGTATGATGTGTGTGCGACCACATTTGCTAGAATACACAGGTGAAACCTGAGCTTCCTTGTTCACAGTCATCTTGAAGAACAAAGAGATTCCAGAATGTTGAGTCCATTTGAATTGGTTTCTTGTGTACTGTGAAGCTGGGACCAACTCACCGCTGACCTTTTACCAGGTTTTCAGAGGTAGTAAATGGCATGGGAGGAGAATGCCCATCTTTTCCCCTTGGAGCAAGTGGTGAATTAGAACCATGTACCTTTGGGTTGGCAGCGCAGCTCCATACCACTAAACCACCAGAGCTCCCTGAATTCAGAACAGATATGAATTTTTTAGAATGTGGATGAAACAGATTAACAAGAACAAGAAAAAGGACAGCTGAAGGCATGGAACGAGAGCCTGAGAAGAGGTGTCGTGGACTCGTCAGGAGCCTGATAGAGGAGACTGGATTATTGTCAGGACAGCCGAGTGGCACCCGTTCAGAGCAGTGTGGTCTACTGCCATCTTTGAGCCGGGCATCACTGTTTCCAACTTTGCCAGTCAAGAGATCAGGTTGTTATCTATGTAAAGTACATGCTACTTCACTCACACACACTGCAAAGATCGTTCCTACCAGTATCAACCAGTAACTTCCCTTCTTCCAAGAAAATGGATGCCCTTTTCCCTCTTCCTCATTCCAGCTGACACACATTTTACAAATTCAGGTCCGTTCTGATTCTGTGTCAGCAGCCATAACTGAGCCAGGAAGACCAAGCTTGAAGCTCTGGAAAATTCACAACTCTAACCAATCAGCACTTTTTATCAATACAAGATGGTACATTTGCAGAAGCGTTTTAGAAGACACATAAAATGGCACTGTGACATAACTGATGTTTTCTGTGTTAAAAATGTTGTCAAAGCAAAACCAAATTTCATCCATTGGAAGTTTTCACTTTGGCCAACCTCAAATTTCTTAATATTCATGACTTAAAGATTGAAGGCTTCTCCTTAAAGACTGTACAACTCTACCAGGGAAGTGGAGGGAAATACGGGAGCAGAGGACTGGAAATGGTGGAAAGTCAACAGAACGCAAGAGAGAATGAAAACAGGCAGCAGAAAAGTGCCTGAAGGGGTGGGGACTTAGATGGATGGAGCAGGAGATCAGGAACTGAATGAAATATGCAGAACTTGACAGCAGCATCCAAAGTTGCCAAAAACTGTGAGTTACAGAAACCAGGCTGGGAAGTAGCCTGCAGGGTGTGTGAAGCAGGGAAATACACATGCTCTTTAGTTTTTTATGTTTCCAAGTAGTATCGTTTGAGAGGAAGACTCTCAATGAGATGGGTTGATTCAGTGACTGGGGTAACGGGGGTAGGTGTGTCGGAGACAGTGAGACTGGCACAGGACAGAGCAGGGTTTAGGACTATTGTATGTAGGATTGCTATAAGTCACAGGCAACTCGATGGCACATAACAACAACAACAAAATAGCATCTACTGCTCAGTACTAATCAGTGATGCATAATGGCAGTAGAGACCACAATCTACATTAAGATAAGACTGGGAACCTTGCTAAGAAGGGGCACGAGGCTGCGCGATGCAGGACACTCACCGGCCGTTGTCACGCCCCACGCCCCACACGCGGATGCTCACGATGGGCTGTGAGTGGAGCACGGAGCGGTCCATGGGGTCCACCAGGCTGAGCGTGTCATTCTCCAGGATCAAGTACATGTCCTTCCCCTGAAATCAAGGAGAAAACAGACGGTCTTCCTCATGCCGGCCACACGGCTTTGTGGGGATCTAGGGGTGTCATTTCAACAAACAAAAGTTTGCATCTCATTTCTTTTTTTTTTCTTAGAGAAGGACATCATGCTTGGAAGGGTGGAGAGGCAGCGCAAGAGAGGAAGACCTTGGATGAGATAGACTGACAGTCAGTGAGAAAGGCTCTGGACAGGGCAGGCTTCAGAGCTGTTGTACATAGAGTCACTATGAGTTTCAGGTGACTTGATGGCACATAACAAGAACAAGAGAAGACCATCCTCTTCTAGCTAAAATATTCATACAGCTTCCACAGTCCCCTCAGACACATTTCCCTCTCTAAGTTCTCTGACATGTGTCCCTAGCCTGCTTCCTAGTTGGCTTTTAATTATTTACATTTCTGAATTTTCACTCTAAGAAGAAAGGTTAATGCAGGCTCCTCTGAAACCACCCCATCTCGGCAACCCCATGCTCAGCGTACCCCTCTCCCCATGGCCCTCTCTCTGGCCAGACCCACACCTATATTTGAGCTGTGTCAACATTCACACCACATCCTATCTGTGCAATCTGCCTGACAGACAGGCACAGGCTCATGGCCCTCCTTGGCACAGTCAACAGCTAATAATTATGTGACTCTATATCATGTCAGCCACAAATCACAGACCCCACAAGCAACGGATCAACCTTCCGCCGTGTCCTGCACCAGCCTCACCACCTCCGCCATGCTCACGCCCACTGTTGCTGTCACTGTGCCAATCCACTTCTTTAAGGGGTCTTCTCCCTTTTTGCTGACCCTGCACCTTTCCCAGAATGACATCCTTTCCCATGATCCTCCTGATAACATGCCCAAAGTATGTGAGACAAAGTTCCACCGTCTTTGCTTGTAAGGAGCACAAAGTCCATGTGTTGCACTTCTTTGAAGAGAGATTTCTTTGTTCTCTATGCAATCCACAAGATCTCCAACATTACAATTCAATTGCATCGATTCTTCTTTGAGCTTCCTTACTCACTGTCCAATTATCACATGCATACGAAGTGACTAAAAATATGGCTTCAGTCAGATGTATCTTAGTCTTTAAACTGACATCCTTGCTCCTGAGCTGCAGAGACTATTTAGCACACTTACATATTTTGTTGGCATAAAAGAAGCTCTTTTGACCTAGTAGTAAGTAGTAATACTGACTACTCAAAGGCACATGGTCCAAGTCTACCAGGTGCTCTGTAAGAGGAAGATGGGCAACCTCCTCCTGTACAATTTACTGCCTCTGAGAACCAATGAAGGGTCAACTGTGAACTGGTACTGACTTGACAGCACATAACCACACACAACATGTGCATAAGATGCTCACCAAGTGTGTCAGTAAGAGATCTCAGTTTCTTATTATCTCCATTTTGCAAACGGGGACACTGAGGCTCAAAGGCTCAGAAATCTGCTCCAGGGTTATGATGCCTTTAGCTACACGTGTGCTCTTGAGTATCAGTAGAGCACTCAGCTCTCCCCTGGCTCTGTTCTTTAGTGATTCATGCTTCATGTCCTGTCTACCCATGTAAATCCACTCCTGTGTGCAGGAACATTATTTAACCTGCCCCCAAGCCATAATTAAACACGTGCTGTCCAGTTTTAGGGCTGTCTGTCAGATGGACGGCAGTCCAGGTGCTGTGGAGTTGCAGATAGGAGACCTAAGTGGTCAGTGACAAGGGGGCTGTTGGTGGATCTTCAAATACCACGGTGAGATAGACAATCTCTCTTTGGTAGAGTCCTTGGGAAGGATGCTTTAGATTCCTTTCATAGGTTCTCAGCATCCATGGTAGCAAATTGGTCCAGTGCTTGGCCATAGCCCAAACATCAGTAATTTAAATCCACCAGCCAATATCTGGGACAAAGATGTGGCAGTCTGCTTCCATAAAGAGCTACAGCCCGGGAAACCCCAGGTGGCAGCTCTAGCAGCTTTGCTCTATCAGCTCGTTATGAGTTGGGATCAACTCAACAGCAGTGGACTAACGGGCAATATCATGGTGGATGGAGAAGAAATGGAAACTGTCAACAGCTTGGATCCACAATTTACACCCTTAGAACCAGCAGTCAGGAAATCGGGAGATGTACTGCACTGGGAAAGTCTGCAGTTAGCGGCCTTTCTAAGTTATTAAGGAGTAATGATGTCAGTTGGCAGACCAAGGTGTGTCTGATTCAGGCCATGGTCTTTCCAATCACTTGCAATGCATCTGACAGCTGGACAGTGAGTAGGGAATGACAGAAGAATTGATGCCTTTGAGCTGTGGTGTTGGAGAATAACACCGAACATCCCAACGACGGCCAAATGAAACCAATTAATAGTCATGGAGAGGGTACAGTCACAGTGCTCTTTGGAGGCAAGGATGATGACACTTTGCCTCACATACCATGGGCAAGTTGCTAGGAGGGGATTTTCCTTGGAGAAGGACATGATGCTGGGAAGGGGGAGGGTTGGCGAAGGAGAGGAAGATCCTCAACCAGGTGGATGACATGGCGACCGTCAAAATAGGCTTTCGTTTGTCAGGAAGTGGGAAGATAGTACAGGATAGGACGGGGTTCAATACAGTTCATAGGGCCACTAGGAGTTGTACTCAACTCAATGGCACCTAACAACAACAAGGCTCTCAGAATGAACATGGGCTGATGGTTAAAGGTGGTAGTAAGGGTATCTACAGTGAACATGGGGAGCCTTGGGGGCACAGTTGTTTGTTGTTATGTGCCATTGAGTCACTTGCAACTCATAGCGACCCTATGTACAAGAGCTCTAAACACCGTTCTATCCTGTGCCAACCTCGCCACCTCAAATGCACTTATTCCCACCACTCCACTCACAGAATTGATCCATCTCACCAAGGGTCTTCCTCTCCTTTGCCACCCCTCCACTCTGCCAAAAATGATGTCCCTCTTCAAGGACCAAGCCCTCCTTGCAACATGCTCAAAGTATGTCAGACGAAGCTTCAGAATCCTTGACTCCAAGGAGCATTCCGGCTTCACCTTCTCCGGGACAAATCTGTTTGTTCTCCTAGCAGTCCATGGTATATTCAACACTCTTTTCCAGCACCACAGCTCAAAGGCATCAACTCTCCCTCTATCATCCCTATTCACTGTCCAACTCTCTGATGCATAGCACGTAACTGCAAAGATTAAAGGCCGGATCTGGCACACCTTAGTCTCCAGCCTGATGTCGTTGCTCTTCAGTACTCTTGAGAGGTCCCTCACAACTGACTTTCCCAAAACAATTCATCTCTTGACTTCCTGGCTGCTGTTACCAAGAGTGTTGACTGTGGAGCCAAGTAAATTAAAACTGTTAACAATCTCAATCTCCTCACCATCCATGCTGATGCTGCCAATTGGCCCAGTGGTTAGAATCTTTGTTTTCTTGACATTTAGCTTCAGTCCATATGGGAGGCTGTAGTCCTTGATCTTCTGCAGCAAGCGCCTCAGGTCCTCCTCAGTTTCAGCAAGCAGGGTTGTGTCATCTGCATAATGCAGGTTGTTGATGACTCTTCCACCAATCCTGATGCCACATTCCTCCTCATACAGCCCAATGTCTTGGATGATCTGTTCTGCATACAGATTGAAAAGGTATGGAGACAGAATACATCCCTGACAGACCCGCTTCTTGATTTTGAGCCATGTAGTGTCTCCTTGCTCTGTTCTGATGACTGCCTCTTGGTCCAAGTATAGGTTTTGCATTAGCACAATCAAATGTTCTGGGATTCCCAATCTTCTCAGAGTCAGCCACAGCTTGTGATCCACACACTCAAAAGCCTTTGCATAGTCAATGAAGCACAGATAAGATTCTGGTATTCTTTGCTTTCTGCCAAGATCCATCTAACATTAGCGATAAAATCCCTAGTACCACGACCTCTTCTAAATCCAGCCTGCACATCTGGCAGTTCTCTGTTGACATATTGTTCCAAACATTTTTGGATAATTTTCAGCAGAATCTTGCTTGCATGTGGTATCAATGATATTGTTTGGTAATTTCTGCACTCTGTTGGGTCACCTTTCTTTGGAATGGGAGCAAATATCTTTTGCAGTCAGTGGGCCAGCTGGCTGTCCTCAAAATTTCTTGGCACAACTTAGTGAGCACAACCATCTCAGGAACAGGTTTGAGGCCTTGAGCACCAATGAGAGTAGACCAAATGAGCTCTGGGAGGATACAAAGAAAATCGTCCATGAAGAATGCAAAGATCATTACAAAGGCTGAAGAAGAAGAAAAGACCAAGCCGGATGTCAGATGAGACTCTGAGTATTGCATTAGAGTGCTGAGAAGCCAAAGCTAAAGGAAGAAATCAAAGAGCTGAAAAGAAAATTTCAAAAAAGGCAGCTCGGGACAACAAAGCAAGACACAATAATGAAATGTGCAGAGAGCTGGAGTCAGAAAATCAAAAGGGCCAGACTCACTTAGCGTTTCTTAAGCTGAAGGAGCCGAAAAACAAATTCAAGCCATTGGTGGCAATACTTAAGGATACTTTGGGTAGAATGTTAAATGATCCAGAAAGTATCAAGAGAAGATGGAAGGAGTACACAGAATCACTCACTGTATCAGAAGGAATTGGCTGACACAGAGGAATTTCATGAAATAACATATGAGCAAGAGCCTATGGTGATGAAGGAAGAAGTTAAAATTGCTCTGAAGGAATTGGCAAAAAAACAAGGCTGCAGGAGTTGATGGCATACCAACTGACATATTTCAACAGACACACACTGCCCTGGATGTGCTCACTAAGTTGTGGGGGCACAGTACATAATGTATTAGACCACTAACCAAAAGATCAGGAGTTCAGTGACCTAGGCAGTATGGAAGGAAGATGGGTAGTCTCCTACCATTAAGATTATGGTCTTGGAAACCCAATGGACGGACGCTATGAGTAGGAATTGACTCTGTTGTTGTTAGGCGCCTTTGGTCTGAGGACAACTCCCAGTGACCTGATGAACAACAGCCTTGAACCCTGTCCTATCC